GGGGCGTGAGGAGCAAGCCGGCGGCCCGCGGGGCTGGCCAAAGTGAACAGGGAGGGGCACAGCCCGGCACAGCCCCGCCCAGGAGGGGGAGGGAAGGTGCGGGGCACGGCGCGGCGGGGTTAGGGGTCAGCCGGGCCGGGCCGGCCCGGGCGAGCTCTCCTGGCCCTCCTGCCCGTGCCGTGCCCGTGCCCGGCACGCCCCCGGGGAGCAGCACGGCCAGGCACGCATGCAGGGCGGGGCTGCACTGTCAAAAGAATCAATGACAATTCGACGCGGCGACTGAAACCAAACGTCAATTCCGAAGACATCGGTACGAAATTTGGTTCACCATTGGCGAGGGGAATTCGTGGCGCTATGGCATCGGAAACTACGGTCGCCAAAGTGGCAGGCCATAGATGAGTTCCTGGAGCTAATTCGAAGACGGAAGGAAGCTTTGCTTCGCCACGAAAAAGGCTTCGGCCTGTGGCGATCGTGGAGTGCTTCACCCCGTCTCTTTACTAAAATCGGTTGTGTTGCAAGGGAGGGACGCTTCACCGTGCTACGAAGCCATTTTCCGTCGCTATGGGAAACTGAACTCTAGGTGGTGTGCGAAATCGGATTAACGAAATGGCGGACAGAAGTTAGAACGCCAATGGCGAACAGAAATTCTAAAAAGACATTTTTGGCTTCGGTTGACGTGACGAGACCGGCGGGGTAGACAATTCCACCGGCCAAGTGCAAACCGCACCGAGAGATGGAACAACTGCAATAGTCTTGGAGTGGGACAGGGCGCCCCGTCACCGAGGGGGCCCGGGGACCCGGGGGCCCGGGGCCCGGGCACAAACAGGCGCGCGGTTAGCAGAAGCTCGCGAACCGAAGGAGAGGCCCGGCACCACCCGGCACCACCCGGCACCACCCGGCACAGGGCGACAAGAGAGAGGAGAGTTAAGGTGCGGATGATATTGAATCAATTATACTATTACCCGAAGTCGCTTGACCTCGAGTGGCCGCAGGGGGCGTAGATAACCGGGCGGGGTCGTCTGGGGGCGAGGCTGA